ATTCATTTAATTTTAGAGCTGTTAGTGTAGGAAAGTGCAGACATGATTTATATGCTCAGGGTCTGGGATGTCCAATATGGCTGCCAGAAGGGGCGTGGCTACAGAATCCTTCATATATACATCAGTCCATTCATCACATTGAGGCTAAATGCATTCCTGTGTTGCTGCTGTCAGTCACACGTAGAATAGAGACTTCCAGGCCCATTCAGACTTCAGGCAGCTCTGCTTAGGCATGCAGCAAGTGTATGCACACACACACACACACACACACACACACACACACACACAAAGGCATTGACAGATGGCAGTATTCAGACTGACGGCGGTCAAACAGACAGACAGACTGAAGGAGATTGTAAAGCGACTCTGAGATCAGTTGCTTTCCTCAGAAGGTCCCTTAAAGTTCTCACAACAAACCAGGAGGCACAAAATCACAACAGGACATTCGAGCTGATATTTTAATTGATTGTTTCTGGTTTCAAAAAAGTGACATAACAAGTCCGGATCATAGACAACAACAAACTCATCAACTGTTTGTCTTCTGGTTTGAATCAAAACTTTTGCTTTCAAGATTTGTTGCATCAAATTGATAACAAAAAGCTGAGTATAGTTGTTTCTCTTTGATGGTGTTCTACAGCTTCTTGTATACTATAAGCACGTGCTCAGGAGGACTGAATTTAAGACAAACCCAATTTATGAGAAGCTATTCATGTCTAAGTGCTTCAATTCACCCAGAGGACACTTATGAGAGAGCAGCTTCTCAAAAAAGGTTTTCGTAAATAAAAATGAATTTTTAAAACCTTTTTTGGAAATAAATGCAATTGGTCAACCTATTATTCTTTAATTTGTCTTAAAGTAAAGCTGATTTTGTCCTTATATTGCTAACATTCTGCTGACATATGCTAATTGGCCATTGAATTGGCCAAGTATTTAAATTGGGGCATGTTCTCTTCATACCAGTTACTATTAATAAACTGAGCGTAGCGTTAGTTCAGGTCAAGTCAAGCCACAAACACCATCAGTCTTAATCCTTTTACATATTCACATCTTCATATTCAGTCGGTGAATCTTATACCGTGGGCATATTTAGGCTGCTTTAGACCACCTACAGTTGCGGCACATCTGCAAGCCACTTTGCAAACCACTTCCATCTGGCTCCTCCTTTTCATGCTGTTCCGAATTAATCAATGTCATTGATGTGGTCGCACTGCTGCTCTCCCCACGGCTGACTTTCAGACAGAAGGTATTTTCTGTTGATCCTTGTTTGATATGTGGAAAAAAATTTAAAGTGGGCTAATGTCCCCAATTTTCTAGGTTACAAATATCAAAAACAGAATAGAAATGGACACATTTGTTTAACGCCAGAAAAAAGGACTATATCACAAATGTATTATAATTTGAAGGTTTCATTTGAAGATATTCCATTAATGCATATGCTTTTCAAAGAACCATAGTAAGTGAGCAGCTGACTTTAAACTGTTTGGACAGGTGTGGACTATTCCTTTGTAATTTCTTCATCAATTAAGCAGTTTTGATTTCCAGCATTTACATTTAGTAATAATAAAAATAATGACTCGTGTTTAGTTTTAGGTTTTTAGAGCAGGTCCCTTCTGTGGATGCAGGGTTTTGTTGTTTTTTTTTGCACCAAAACAAAAATGTAAAAATTTATCTGGTTAGTCTCCAAAACAAAGAAAGACACAGGAACTCCTTGATGTTTTGTTGGATTCGATTCCTGATTGGAGCTTTAATAAAGACACAAAGACTCTTTGATTGGCAGTCGCTGTGTGAGTGGGTTTGTGTGTGTCCATCTGCCTGTCGTGGACGAACTGTAAGGAAAGTGCTTTCACTGTGAAGCGCGCACACACACACACACACACACACACACACACACACACACACACACACACACACACACACACACGGCTGTTCTGAATAGGGGAAGGTTTTCTTTAATGAGAGTGAAATTTAAATCCTGGACATTGTGCTGCTTTGCAGCTACAGCCAAGACGAGCAGGTTTTCCTTCCACACACACACAAAGTACAATGACGTAATGCTTTTGCAGAAGCTTAAACAAGTCTTGTATCGAGGCCGATGACCTGCTGTGAGGTGAAATGGATTTGAATTCATTTAAGTGTCTTGCTTTAACAGTAGTTTACACTCAAGTAGAAACACTAAAACTTCGCAAATACTGTTGTTACATGGCCACAGAAATCTGTAGAACTTCTTTAAGCAGCCATAAAACGTATTCCCGGAGGACACCAGAAGCCTCAAAAAAACCTGTGGAACCTCTTTCAAAAGTCCAGAATAACTTTCTAAGACTCACTGAAGCTGAAAAGAAGTCCTCAAGGATCAAACATCAAACTTTTTGTATACGTTCACTTTTGGGGTGTATTTTTCAAAGACTTTCCCAGTCGTCTACATTTAAAATTCCACTGAGTCCATTTTTCGGGCTGTTTAGCTTTTATTATGATGCGATCCAATAAGCTGTCATAGCACCCAAGCTTCCATTAATCTTTAAGGACCCCTTTCAGGTGTTCCTGAAAGTTTAGCGTTTCTGTAAAACTAAATGAAATGTCTCTAAGCACACCTGAAAACTCCCTCCTCAAAAACAATGAAACAGCTTGAATTGTTCCAGGAGCCTCTTTAGAGATCACTGAATGTGACGAAACTTCCTTAAACATCAAACCTCTTTATTTACCTTCATGTGCACCCTAGGATCCACAACCAAAACTTCCTGAAGAACTTCTGGAGCTTCTGCAAAACTCTTTCACCAGCTGCACCTCTTGAGAAATCCCTCTAACCTTCTCAAAACCTCCAGGAAACTCTACATTTGTGGGCTAAACTCAAGGATCTGTTAATCCTCTATCAGAAGACACCAAATTGTCTTCTGATGTTTCAACACCCTTGAAACATTGTCAGTCCACACATTCCTGTTTGCCTGTAGAGGAATAAATTAAAAGTCCTTTAAAGAATCTTCAATGTCTCTAAATGTATGTTAGAATTCTACAATCCTAAAGCTTCAGAGAAACTATTAAAACATCTACAAGAATTCCCTGATATCCCTGATGTACTTGAGAAGTCTCTTTTAAGGATCACAGAAGCAAAGAAAAAACTCCAATACATTCCTAGGTATTGACAAGGGATAACTTCCTGATAAACGAGGTAATCTTCTTCAAAGGTCTTGAGACCAGCTGGACCAGAAACCCCCAAAAACCTTATTAAAACTGTTCTTATACTCTTCAAAGTTGATAATCTGTCGATCATCCAATTATTTTTTTCCAGTCAGCACAACCATTTAGAAAACTTTAAGAACTCCTTCAACAGGTTCCTGAAACAATTAAAAATCTCTTAAATGCCTTTAAAGAATGAAACCTGAAATATCAGAGCTGCTTTAAAACTGCTGAAACCTCTCCAAATTTGTCTAAACGTAGAAAGAATAGAATCACTTGAAAAACTCCAGGAGCTTCTTCAATGAGTCTTGGCTGAAAACGGTTTCCGAAATAACACCTGTCCTGATGTTGGCACTCTTACCCTGCAGTCTGTGCAATGTCTACAATAAACTTCAAATAGATCCTTCTAGAAAGGGTGAGCTTGTTTACACGGTCTCATTTGAATACTTTCCATTTCTGGAATATATATAAAACAAAACAAACTTGTAGCAAAAGGGAACACTAAAAAGCAGAAGCCAGATCTTATTTTCTGGCAAAACGTCACCTTCTTCTAAAGTGCATGGAGAACAGCATCAAGTGTAACAACATTATTATTTGACTGATGCCTTTGGTTTGTGACCTTCACATTACACATAAGTTTTACACAAAATGAGTGTAGGTTGTAAAAAATACAAAACAACTACGTATATGTCCAACATGTGGCTCCACAACGTACCTGGTTATAGATTCAGCTAAGACATGAACTTTTAAGTGTTAAGGCCGGACTCATAAAATCCGTGTAATATTTCAAGCATAAAAAATATTTTTTGGACTCACCTATTCTTAATGCAGCTGTTCACAACACCGCCGTAATTTTGATGGACAAATTTGTGGCATTTATTATTTTTTGAACCTCAGACATACACATAGACACTGCTCAGGTCAGTAGGCTCTCTGAAATGATTTCTATGCCTTCTCTTACGTGGTCCGAACCCTGCTAACGAGAGTTCATACTGCCCCACCAACATCCTGAAATGTGCACAAAAGCAGCTGTGCAACACAGATTCAACTCCTGGGTCAAACCATGAAACTGACCCTACCTCTGCCTTCTCCTGAGAATTAGATGAACCCAGAATCTCAGTTTCTTCCTTTTCTTGTTTAGAAACATCAGGACCAGCTCTTCATCGCTTGGTGTCCACTTCATTTTTTTCACAGTGTGTGTTTTTTGAGGGTGAATTTTCTGTAAAAAATGCAACAAGTTCAGATCTGAAAAATTCTGAATGTCATGTCCCTGTTTGTCCTCGGTGTGTAATGGCTTTTACTCAAATTTTAATTCTTTAAGTTATATAAAAAATAATCCTACTGCAGCAGTTAGTGAAGAGAGCAAAGGTGTTTTTGTATCAGGCTGTGAACGTGTTTTCTCTCCTCTAACGTTGGACATTGTAATATGGGAATCTATGGGGACTGACCCACTGCTGGAGACTGCCTCAAGTGGGCATTCAGGGAACTGCAGCTTCATTGGTGCTGTGGTTGAATTTGGGAACTTATTTTTGTCTCCAGGTGTAAATTCAGTGATGCACTCTGGGTCTCTGCAGATTAAATGTTTTTCCTTAAACATCATGAACCACAGCACCTGACATGCACCCGAAAAACAGGCACAGAGGACAGGTGTTCCGTTTCTCACCACTACATAACATCACCCGTGCGCGCGCAGGCAC